CATACGAAATAATGTAAAATGTGTTTTCTCCGAAACACTACCTGAAGCTCTTATGGGTTTCTGTCCGTGTTCTGGCATGTGGCACTTCCTGATGATTCATCCCTATCACCATGGATATCTGATTTAGCGCTATTTGTTCGCAGCCGATTTTATTCCATCAAAAACGCTGTCGAGGACTAAACGCAGTTTGCTTCCTTAATGGTCAAGCTTTTAAATCGGTCGCAATCACACTTTGATAAAAACAACTTAGCGACCGGCCTTTAAAGCGCAATTGGTAAATGACTATGTTTGTTTTTCAGTAATAGTAGAGTAGTGGCCAATGGATCGAAAACATGCGAATTTGCGAAACGACTTCGAGCATGCCGCTTTTTGCATCCTTGCAAGTAGTTTTCGCCGCCGCTTCCTTGATCTGTGGGCGTTCCCCCTTTTCGATTATCAATCTCTTTATAGTGCAGCCTGTGTTCGACTGCGTGACATCTGCATCAGTGGTCTCCACCGGCCTCTGTTTTCATATCTATTCAAAACTCCTGATTGCAGCTTCTAAAATTGACTTCATGAAGTATTACGTCGCTGGGCATTAAATTTTTGCCAAAGCAGAGATGCAAAAGTTTCAACCACAGTCTGTCACCACTTTTCCACTGTTCGATGGCATGCGGGCTGTTTTTCTTCAGCAATAGTGGCCCTTAGGCGTCAAACCTGCTCCAGCAGCTTTATGGCTTTCAGGCATGACTAAGATGTTCGAAAGAGATAAACTTAGTAATTTCGCAGTGGAAAACGATCAACTCGTTTAACGAACACTGCTGATGCCGTCCGTACTTTGTACGAGGCTAATTAAAAGCTTGATTTCTTATAAATTTCACACCATTCTTACATCATCCTTTTCTCATTGCACTTCCGCGACATGACCGATGGGGTTGCGGACAGGGTTTGTTGGGCAAGGCGATTCATCGACGCTTCTATTCGACTCTCAAGTCACGTTTACTGCGCTAGTACGCAGTGAACAGATATTTTTCAGCCAAGAGTCAGATGTTTTGCTGCAGAACTGAGCAATACAACGAAGTTTGCAGAAAACATAAGTCAGCAGCAATGCGCGTTGTTGTTAAGCTAAAGTACAATACAGTACTCTCCTCATTTAAGATAGTCCGCAGTATGTCACACGACTTCACGTCGCTTTACCATTTATGTCGTGTCGGGTATTCAAGTCGGCCCACTTTTCGATTTTATCCATGGATAGAAACGCTGTTTCCGGCCTTCCTTGATCTGGTCCCATTTTTGCGAAACCACTAATATTACTTCACTATCAGACGGACAAAACTTTCGTAGCGATTCCATCTTTTCGGCTGTTCAGCAACTGTTGAGTAATAGCGTACATTATTACCCGCCATTTTGCGTTACGCTTCTTCCGAAAAGTTCACTGCAGTCGTTTACAACTCTAAGTT